TTGCAACAGAATGACTGAGGAGATTGAGAAGATCGCGATGAGCAAAGTCATGTTACTGATCGCGCCTGACGTGGCTTATCGTTCAGCGACGGGAGCTGCTGAGATTCATGCGTGATTTGCGACCGAGTGCACTGTGTTGATGCATGGTTTTAGAGTGTTTTCACTCTCGATATTGTTTTTTACCGGGCGATCGTATAGACGAGGTTGTCGGGTGCAGGTTCACACGTGGTAACTATTTCTTCAGCTGCCAAACAGTCGTCTTAGCTTGGCCAAAGAGCCCCTGTCTATTAGTGACTGAAAGTGATGCTGCCGTTTCTGTGTTGTTGCTACGTACGTTCGGCAGCTGCTTGCTACTTCACTGCCAAACTGCCAATGCGCTGTGTATCCATCGAGTTGTAACCGCCGATGAGACATTTCACTTCAATTCATTTTTTTCACAAACGCTGTTGTGTCTGTTCCTCCTATATGTCATCTTGTTGCCAGTGTAGCTATTACAGACAAATCCAGCGACCATTAGAATCCACTACTGTGGTTGTGCCGCACTAACGCGCGGCTGCGTGCTGCGGGCGCGTTTAAATCCCCCTCTTCTACCAGACAGTGTTGGTTGCATAGAGCTACATGTACATACCAGTAGCGTAACTACGTGTGCCCCCTTCCCGCCATTTGAAATCCGTGAACAACCTCTGCACCTCATTGTCTTTTTGTGTCCCCCTATAAAAATGAGTATACCCCGGGTGCCCCCCGACACAATTGCCCTAGTTGCGCGAAGGCTATGTACAGATCATAGAGCTATGTATAGGTTGGTTGTTACTAGTGATTTGCCCAAATACGCCTCTCACGTTTAAGAATACGAGCGTAAGAGAGCTACCATCGCAGCAAAGGCGTTCCCCTCCGGTTATCTTATATATACTCGACCGCTGTATCATGTAAATACAGCAAATATAAATATGCATGGTTTGGCGTGTGTTCTTTCCTCGCCTTTCATCTCTTCAGTCCGAGCTCGATTCCCGGCTTGGTCCACTATAGATTTGGTTTTCAACCCCTACTGGTCCCCAGGTCTAGGTCAACTATACTTCCCGATATATCATATGAATATTCATGACAAGATCTACAAATTGACAGATTAAAAGACAGCATACAATATATCAATCTGTACAACGTACAATTGTACAACCTACAATCTGTTTCTCGAGCTGCAGAGTGCCGTGTGTCGTGGCAACAGAGTTGAAATAGTCTGGTTTTAACACTCTGTAATACGTCTTTAGGCCGTTTTCGAATCACTTGGCTGAGGCTCAAAACAAAACTTTATGAGAACTGGCCGCGGCCATTACATAGACTTGTACATAATTTTGGGCCACAGCCAGGTAATTCGGACCGGCTCTATGTTCGGACAAAGCCTTACATACTTGTTACCAGGGACTAAAACAGCAGACTGGTTCCGGAAAGATTACATGTCACAGACTGCATGTCTATGAGGCGGGTTCCATAGGGAATCTTTGATGCTACTTGAGAAAAACAATACTGCGACGCGCAGCTCACTGAGATGACGTCACCTGGGCGCCTATCAGTTAGGTTTCTCGGACGTGCGGCGAAATCGGCCAATGACGTGCCACAATTTGCGCGTGAATAATTATGAGGTGGACTATAAAATAGGTACCGTTGCTGCTGCTTAAGTGGTGTAAGCAAAGAGCTATAGGCACACCACTATGTTACTGCTGTAGTAGTTAACAATATTCCCAATGCTAAAGCCAATGAATCTACTCCTATTCTTGCTATGCCATATTTCACGTAGCTGTTGTTGCTGATTAGTTTACTGTCCCCACCAATACCACTGTGCTGTACATGTACATTACTGGTACACTGTCTTGGCTGTTTTAATATACTTCAGCTGTTCATGTTGTTATGTCTATCAATTTACATCTGTCCTTTACTGTAGGTGTATTTCCCCATCGCTTCTGCTGGAGTGACTGTCTATTACTGCTTCTATGCGCCTGTCGACCCATGACCTTTGGTCAGTTCAAATTCAGACCGATGGAACGACAATCGATGGGCGTGACTCGCCATCTTAATTCCTGTAATGAAAGCGCAATGTGCATGTGTGAACGGTGGGGGGGGCTGATTTCCATACCAAACAATAAAGCCCACTCATGGCTGCCAGGCGAGATGACAATTGAAACTATGGATCTGTTTTCCCCTCCTTTTGTGTCTCTTCGTACTCTCCCCCCCCCTCCGGTGGATCAATGCAACGCATATCTGTAATAGGATATTACTTCACATGCATGCATTTTGCACGCAATGAAGGGAAAGTACAAGACCTTGAGTGATATACCGGTAACAATGAAGTGCAAGTCCGGTATGCCGCACGCTAAAGCATACTGACTGCAGAAATGACATACATGTACAAGGCAGGGGCAATTTACATGACCTTTAGCGCTAGATCTCATGATAACATTGCCGGCAGGGAAATAATAATAATTCATAGCATATTTCAAACTCGGTATTGGGTTTAATAAGTGGCATGGTTTAATGGACCGACTCGGAGGAACAAAGCAGCATTTTAATCCGGCAAACGTCCTTCTGCGGTATTCCAGTTAATGGACTTTTGGGCACAGGGGGCTCATTCCAACTACACATGTACTGACATTTGAGGAACGCATACAGCGGGCGAATGTGAGTTGCTATGGGCTGGTTTAAAAAAAGGCTGCGCAACCGCTTGTGCTATGATGTTGCCTCACGGTCCGTGGAGCGTAAATTTTAATCGCACATACATGTATCAAATAGGAATATCTGGAGAGACCGCGCTTTCAGGAAACTGTATTTCGCACCTGCTTTTTTATGTTATCATTAAAAAAAAGAAATTAGCTCAAGGCACGGAGATCGTTGGACTGATTGGAAAACACCTCCGGCGCAAATGGTACTAGGTGTTCGGTCCCAAACGTGGAAAGGGCTGTATGTGCCCGCGTACAGTCGGCGAGTGATGCAACTGTGGTATTTTGGAACACACACACATCAGCGAGGCACTGTCAAGCCTTACGACCTACAGTACATGAATTCATGCGCTTGAGGGAACTTGCTTCCCCCCAAATCTCATTACCATTTGCAATTGAAATTTGATGGATTCGGCGGCGGCGTGTCCATTTCACATACATGTACATCGTAACTTTTTTAACGTGCTTTGGGGAGGGATAGAATAAATATGTCATGTTCAATAATGTTTATGGGGCAAAGGATGACACCTTTCGTCAGTAATTTATCCATTTTAAATCATTCACACATTGATTCACAAAGAATTAAAATGTAGGAGCAAAAGCAAATTGAAATAAGTAAATAAATGAAAATAAAATCAAGCCGCTATCAACTGGATTTAATCTAAAACTATCATAGGATTAGATGTTTGCCATGCACGCTTCATGACAAAAATGTAATTAATAACCGGTATCGACATAAAATGTCACTTGCCCTGTATAGAGTCCTCAAAATATAGCAAACGTCTGAAAATGTCGATAAACAATATTGCAATTGTAAATGACGGTGATCTAGCCATATTTAACAACCCCTTATTGTTTAATTAAACTTAGTTCTTGACTTATTCGCAGTAACACGCGCAGAATCCAATCTTTACAGGGGCACAGACTATCTCGCAATTAGAATAGGCCTACACCGAAAATTTCATTATGATTCATGATTAGTTCTCCTAGTCGACGGTATTTTCATTATTCAGTTTCTCAACATGCCTCACCCCCCCGTTTTTCTTTGTTCAAGATCACGTTTTGTCGGAATGTCATTTACTACAGCAAATATTTCACGTCAGCTGATCCGACACGGTGTCATATTAAGTCTATCGTCAACAAACGAGTCACCGCACTCCACAAATAAACTCGAACACACCTATCTCATTTTGATTTCTTCGCCTGCTGACCTGTCGAAATATATAATTTTTTTGTCAAAGTTTTCGGCGCCCACAAACGTTCCAAATTTGCTGCTGTGACAGGGCTTTTGAACTATTTTACAAGACCCCCCGTGGACCGACACCAGATGAATAGCACCATCCATCTCAACTGTGTTTGCTTATGGGGGGGGCTTGAAAACGCACTGATCATTCTGCCAGCTGCACGCGGGACCAGTGGGGACTTCAGACTGAGATCGATTTTTTTTTTTTGAAAATAAATTTTGGTTGGCTTGAGGTGACAAGGAAGAGGCCACAAGGTATTGATTGATTATATATTTTCACCCACGGATTCTCCCTGTTTATAAGCGTGTAACGGCTGGCCACGATAGGCCTTCCCGTTCAGAATGCGTTGCCATGGCAACTTAGATGGGGATGTTTGTGTGTGCACTTGCACACGCCCATATATACTTCATCTCTCTCCTGTTTTTCCACGTAAAGGAGACCTGGGCTACATTGTGAGTGTCAGCAAGTTAAGTTTTACTGAGATGAAATCCGAGATATCTGTGTATTTCCAGTCGACCGCCAAGCCTAAAAATCTATCAACAGCCACCCGAAGCAATTTGAGACTTCTCTGATACTACAAACAAACGAAAACAAGCCGGAATCGAAAAAAAAAATGGAATCCCAAGAGGTTAGTCAGCTTACAGCTCGCACGGTACTTAAATGCAGGAATTCGGGATAAAGCGATCAATGTCGGTCGCGTTACATCAGCCGTTTGCGCGTAGTAAGAAAGAACCTAGGAAAGTATAACATGTATCCTGCACAAGTAAAAACAAATCTACATTTTAGGACTCTCTAAATAAGTCGGTTCGACTTCGAAACCTCTCTCGGTTCATGAGTGGAAAACAAAACCCCGTCGACTTGTCGCAAAACTCCGACTGAAAATTTGGGAAAAAACGCAAAGCCGTAATTTCTGTCTGTTAAAACAGGGCTTAAACTGTTGCTAAGAGGTCATAGGGCTGGGAAATAAAATTTTAAAAAGGCTTACTTAAAACTCGGACCAAGGTGTTTAAAAGATGTGGTTTTTGAAATGTACTCGGTTCCCACCTACCCCAATTGGTGCCACACTGGTCGCATATCGACGTCTCCGGAAAATCATCACAAATGTTGCAGTCCACGCACATCCTCATGTCGGCGTCGTACACCTCCCCGTTGGGGCAAAGTTCCTGGACGGGGGCGGCGGGCAACAAGCCCCGGACGACGGCCAGCAGGGCCAGGACGCAACAGCTCCCGACAACCAAGCCCTCCATGGTTCCCATCCTGTGCGATGCGGTAGATCGAATCTCACGCCACAAACTGTCCGTGCGGAATACCGAGTTACATCAACACCAATGGTTGGACAAAAAAAAGTAGACGCAGGTTGTTTTCCTTCTGGAAAGAAAGAAGTTTTGATATAATCGCCCCGAGCCGAAAGACACCAGGCAGGGTGAAGCAACACACCGGAAGCAGCTGAAACCGTACCGCCAGCCGCTTTAGGAAAATTTTAAATCGCTCTCTCTGAGGATACCGTCTCTCTGTGAGAGGCAGAAACAACAGTTGAAAGTGATACTTCAGGATTGATCCAGCTGAGTCGTCAACAAGTGGCCAAGAGGGCTCCAGTAGTTTCGTTTTATTCTTATGCAAATACAACTCCTCAGCGCGAATCGATGGAAAGATGAGGCTTAGAGACCGTTACAGGTCCATCGCCACAAAGGCGTGCTGTAATCGGCTTTGCTGGGAGGGCACCAGTGTCGTCTTTCCTGACATTCTGCATCCTCGTCTTCATCTTGCGAGCCGCCGCTCAGTGATCCCATGGCATATCCACGCCGACAGCCAGCGCAGCATTTGTGTGGCTTCCAGACGGCATAACATATTGGCAAAGCAAGGCTAATCTATGCTTGTGGTAAGCACCTGCGATTGGCAGCTGACGGCCGTCGTCCAACCCGATCGCCACATCGTCAGTTTAACGCTACACTCTCTGAAAACACAACGTGACTACAGGAGCGTGAAACTGGCTGCGTGTGCGTGCGCCGAGTCAATCGCGCAGACTGTTTTGAAATTGAAGTGGCATCTTAACATATATTACGGCCTGCGGGGTTACCCGACTAATTCCAACGCGTCCTCCTGCACTCGGCTAATCAGGTTCCTAATCTCCCCCTTTCTATCGGGAGTTGTTTTTTCCTCCTTGGCGGAAGGTAAGGAACGCAGAAATCTGCCAACTGCCAATGCCGCCCATCCGAAGTCGACGAGCGCTGATTACAGCGGTGTGCTGAAGGGTGCAGTATCGACCAGGGGTGGGCGAGAGGTAAGAGGGGGGGGCGCTGTCAGTTTTTCACAGCTCCACCGGCCGGCAGTATAGTTACTTTCGCTTCGATAGACAAATCATTCAAGTTCAAGTTTACCCTGCTCATGCAGCACGTTCGCACGACTTTCAGGCCTGTTCCTGACGACGATGATCCAAGCCAGAGCGACAGGCAGTCACATTATCATACAAACTCCCCTGATCACCACCCCTGTGTCTTCCCGCCGCTGCGTCCTCGTACAGTGCTTACGCAGGGCCTTCACGCCCGACCGCTTATTTGCCTAATCGGCCGGGCCGATTTCATTTTCCGCACGTTTCATAATTGCATAATTAGGCCGGCTGCTTTTGATTCTGCTGAGTTAATATAATGGTAAACCTAACTCCAGGAACGGCTTGGACGCTTTTTCATCCTTGCCGGTGTCCTGGCCAGAGGCATGCGGGTATTGGCATGCGGGTGGGTAAACTCGGCGCCGTGCGTCAACGTCACAAGTGCTCCATCTTGGAGAAGTTACGGTGTGTCCTGCTCGCCTCAGCGGATAAGACCCCCCCCCCGTCGTCCGCTGCCTAACCCACAAGGCCCGATTTTGCGGCTGTGACGTCACCAGCGCGTCATCCGTGCATCCTCCCGGGGTGCATGTTGGACACGCAGTCACGCTGCACTGCCAGCGTGTGACGGCAGGTTGACTCGACAGTTTCAAGCACTTCATCTAAATGATTGTGGGCCGGTCAGGAGAGAGACAACTCATTGGTGACCGATATGGCATTAGCTGATGCTAATTCCCAGAGCCCATCGTCGATATATCCGTTTCCTGTCCTTTTCTTTAGGCTGCTGTAAAACATTTTCTCGTTTCTTCACATGGAAACTACAATTACTAATAATGCTTCTGGGCATGTTATGTCCTGAAAACCCAATAGTTTTTACATTGATTATCTCCACATATTTCAGGAAAGCCTAAAATTGGAAAGAAAGACAACGGAGAGAACGAAACGTCAAACAATAATATATAACACAATAAAAACACACTTGAATCCAATAAGTTATTTAACCGACGCGTTGCTTTAAAAATTGGTTTACAAAAGATCGCTACAGTTTTATTTCAAGGCTATCACTGAATTTTTAAAAAGGTTGGCACTCTTACACCGAAAAAAGGGCTGCAAGAGCCAATTACAGGCGATGCATTTGACAGCAGAATTTCTGTAGCGCTTGGGCCTCATGATTCGAGTTGGAAGTGACGTCATCTCCTAAATGTAAATGCACTTTTTGGTCGGTGATATTTGTCCCTTTTTAAAATCATTTCCTTGGCCGTTTGTTCTTCTTTCACCTTGGCACTGATGGTCGGTGCCACATTTGATTATAATTTGGCAATGACATTTTGTGACCTATTACAAGCAACGCAATGAAACAGTAACTCTGTTCGATGCTGCAAACTTGTGACATTACTACTACAATATTATATACAATAATTTACCTCAGTATTTACAATAGGCAAACAAATAATTTAGAAGTTATATTAAATGTGGCTAGTTGACCTGGGCCCTTATGGAGAAAACAGGTGCATGTTGACAGTTTTCTTTCTTTCTGTGTGCACCGCCTTGGGTTTTATTTTGCAAAAGACCTGGAAATAAATTTGCCCTGGATAATTCACTATAGTTATTTAGTTTGCTCCTCGACTGATTCCTTCCACCTTATATACATTAATCAATTTTGTAACATGGATTATAGCAATAGAACCATTCTATGAGAATTTCGGACTGATTTCAATGACAGCAAAGTACACGAAGTGTCCCAATTGCTTCACACGACCAATAAAATTAGTTTTAGATGAAAAGTCCGTGTTTTGAAGTCAGATTACGGTTTATTTTCTTTGGACAACCCCTACCCAGGATACATACCCAATTCCTTCCCTGATAGGAGTTGACTTCAAAAGCCATTGCCTTTGAGCAGTTTATAGCAGTTTTGAGCAGTTTATAGGACGAAGATTTATGTCACGTCTTCTAACCATGCACTTTAGGGACAAATGTATTCGAGAAACACAATAAATTACGCCTAATTATACTTAGCGGGAAAAAATGTAAAAGGGTAACTAATGGGCTCTCTCCAACTGATTAAACGCCAATGAGAGAAGCAGTATGCAATCAGCCATTGCAATGAAAATTATGCAGCGGGGGTCAACGGCGCCTGTAAATCGTGCATGCTCCGAACAATCTTGTTGGATGCGGGGTTTAGCCGATGTTCATACGCAAGACAGGTTATCCCATTATGACTGGCCTTTTACGCGATTACACGTCCCCGCATACCGCCGACACGGAGAAGGGTACACAAACAAGCCGTGGCTGAGGGCCTTATCAAATCTGAAAGTGCTGACCACGTTTATAGAGGTCGTTCTCAGACAGTAACATTTTAGTTGCGATGATTATATGTAGGCGGTAAATAATCAAAACAGGTTTGTCGGTGCAACACAAAATTTCTCCTGGTGCTGCACTCAACCGCCACAGCCGTGTTAACGCTTCTCGGAGGCCAATGAGTCGCCGATAGAGGGCGCACATGCTATACATGATCATTTCCGCTTGGTAATTCCAGAAATTACGGGTTCCAAAAGTGTGACATTTTCGTGTCCCTGTTACATCTGACCTTACATCTGTTACATCTGTTTTTTGACATGAAAATGTGGCCTGAAATGATTTCAAATAATTACTATTTCTTTTGCACGTAATTTGCATTAATTCATCACTCTTGGAAGTTAGAAAATGTGTTTCGAACTTACAAAATCATTTGTCAATGTGACAAGGACACGAAAAAAATATGGACCCCTGGTTTTTGGAATTACCCTTGAACCCCTGTCCCCGCGCAGTTGCACTATGCATGGGTAAGGATTGACCAATTTTGTTCGCACAACGTCTAAATTGATCCAGTGAACGGCTGGAAGAAAATACGCCTACGTCATGAATCCCCAAGAGATCAAAACTTACTCGTGCCTTGTATCTTAGGCTAATGGACACCAACAACGCACTCTTCTGGGAAATAATCCACTTAAACTTCCCATGCTTAAGTTACATGTGTTTACGCAAAGTTATTTCCACAAATATAGTTTTCAAATACTAATCAAAAATAGACTACGTTTTGTTCTTCTCCTCATACAACACATTTATAAGGTTACGACTTGATTTTCACCGAAAGCAACTTTTACTCGCTTCCTACCTAGAAAGTTGAAAGTAGAAAATTATCTGGAAGTGCCTTTAAATGTTCCCAATCCCCCCCCCAAAAAAAAATGGCGCAGCGTTTCTCTACCTTCTGCAGCCCTTGGGACGTTTGTAACAAACAGCCTTTTAGCTTTATACACGTGTAATCCAGAGATACGTCGAAGACATATCCCTCCTGAATTTCCAAGCAAGGTGTTAAGATTCCCCCAGCCGTCAGAATGATCCAAGACGCTAAAAAGCAGTAAGTTTCACCTTTACAACATCACCCTCTCCTTCAGTCAATAATTCTTAAATGGTGTCAGTCTTGATGGTTAAAATAGGTCCCTTATACCCTTATCAGAGGACCAAAGTCACGTGAATTAGTGATGCGATTCAAGACAATGTGACAGGCCTTCTAATTAAGTGCAATTGTGGGTCCTAAGCATCCCATGGGTGTGATTGAAAAGCCCGCCGCACGGGGGCGCTGTGGAACAGAGGAACTGTAGGAATTTCTCGCGGGCTGGGATCGCATCTAATAGACCTTCAATATCATGAGGCTGGCATGTTTGTTTCAATGCTTGTAAACCCATTCGCAATACATGTAGTAGGACAAATTCACATACTGATAAGAGGGAACCGGTGCTTTGTCCTTCTAGCCTTAGTTTGGTTTAATTGCTTTGAATGAAGCATGATGGCTGCCCGTGCTGGGGGTCTATTATACCGCAGGTTCGTCCTGAAATGGCAGTGGATAGTCTTAAAACCTTCTATTGTTGTCATCTTTCAGTGCCACTTGCCGCTCGTCTTAAAATTCTTTTACTTGTCTATATAATGGAATGACTCACACATTAATATATGGTCCACTCAGTCAATATCCAGGTCATGAAGCGTGGTTCAATTGACGGTCAGAGAATCGGCAATCTTGCACAGCTTTCTGGGAGCGGAAATATCTGCTGAATCTACTCATTCATTTTGGCGCGTATCATTTCTCCTTCTGAGATCGTCCGGGACCGAATGTCATGCATGGAATGAAACAGGCGCGCGTCACTGGAATCGCAAGATTCGCAAGTGCCTGTCGGTAGCTTCTTTACTAAACAAAAGCAAACAGTCCGGCTCAACCATCTTCCGGCAAGCAGGCAATTTTACGACTGGCAGAGGATATAGATATTCCTTTCAAAATGGTAAATGTGACAATTAAATCTCTTGTTTCCCCCAAACGTAAGCATTTTTAATGGTTGCGGTGACTATGTTACGGTTTGAACATAATTATCCATTATGACATAAGAAAAAAATACACAGATATACAGTGTGTTAAAAAAAGAAAGGTAAACCGAGGTTAAATTGTTGATATCTTGGACATGTTCAATATTTTGGAAATTGGTAATCACCATTTATTAACTAATGATGTCCTCTTCTAATGACGCCAAGAAATCCAGTTTACTGTCACAGATGACTAAGCACGAAGCAGTTTAATCAAACATGTCAGAACTGGTCTTGCACCAGATAGATGTTTTGGTAAAGAACCTTTTCTGTCCAGACAGGGCTTTTGTTGGCCTTTAAATTATGTAATCCTCAGCA